CAGAAAAGAGAGAAATCACTCCCCAGGGGGCACGGCCACACCATAATCCCTTCTCTATTCTCCTCTTGGGATTTTGGGCACACACACACTTGGGCCAAGTGTGAGTTTGAAGCTGCCGGGGCCAGGACTCGAACTGCAGCTGACTGCATAGAAGTCCAGTGGTGTAACCATTACGCCACTTGCTGGTCCCAAGCCAAGGGTCTTGAGATGGGAGACTGTCCTGGAGCATCTGCATGAGCCCTGTATAATCATAGGGGAACACGACTGGAGAAGGAGGCCGTGTGATGCAGGAAGCAGAGGAGGGAGTGATGTGCTGTGAAGGGAGGAAGGGACCCTGCGCCAGGGATCGACAAAGCCTCTAGAGGTGGAAAAGGCCGGGAGTGGCTTCTCCGGCACGGCTTCCGGACGGTGCGAATGCCCTGATTTGGGCCCATAGAATCTGTTTCAGACTTCTGGCCTCCAGGCCTGTCTGCCGTGAGGGTGTCCAGTTTGTGGGATCTGTCACAGCAGCAGTGAGAAACACAGACGGCTGTCCTCCGTGAAGCCAGAACCACTCTGGGCCTCCTTGGGAAGATGGGAGAGGACGGGCCTGGATTTAGGGGAATGACGATGTGGGAGTGCTGGGACAGAACGTAGATTTCGGAGGAAAAGTCGGCACGGGCTGTGATGAACCGGACGTGGTAGGGGCAGCTGGGGGCTGAGGATGGCCCTGACCCCTAGGCTTGACGCCCCAGTCTCTCTGGAGCACTTTTCTTCTGTCTGTCTCTTTTTTCTTTCTCTCTTCTCTTTGTCTTCCTATTTCTCCCTCTCTCTCCCCCCTCTGTCTCTCTTCTTATTTCTCTGTCCCCTATTCTCTATTTCTCTCCCTATCTCTCTCTCTCTCTCTCTCTGCCTTCCTTATTTCTCTTTCTCTCTTCTGTCTCTTTCTCTTCATCTCTCTCTCCCTCTGTCTGTTTCACTTTTTCTTTCCTTCTTTCCCTGTTCCTGTCTTACCCTCCTGCCCCTCTTCACTCACTGTCTCTTCCTCTTTCTCTGGTTCTCTGACTCTTTCTCTCTGCATCTCTCTCTCCTTTTTCCTCTGTCCTTGCTTCTCTTTCTCTGCCCCCTACACACCTTGGGCCAGCCTGATGTAGTGCAGAGACACGTCTGTCCTGCTCACCATGGGACCCCACCCCACCTCTGTGCAGTGGCGGCTCATGGTAGGCACTCCGCCATCACGTGCCACCTGAATGAATTTGAACAAAGGAATACTTTTGGGTTCCCAGGCCTTAGTGTGGGGCTTAAAGCATAAGCGAACTAAGCAAATATTGCATGAATGAGCGAATAGCTGAACGAGCTGTCCCCTTATCTGCCAGGAGGCCTGCACGTTGGGGCTGATGGGTATCTGAGGATTGCATTTGCATTGTCCTGCAAGGGCAGGGCGTTTCTGAGGCCTGGCTAGCTGGTGAGCAGTGGCAGGGCTGTTTCTGGAACAGACTCCTCCATCCAGTCCTCAGGCCTTCCACCTGCTGCTCCCTCTGCCTGGCAGGCCGCGCTCATCCCGGGGCTGGCACAGCAAACCGCTGCGGTCCGGGCGGCCGACAGCAGCGCGACTTCACTCCCTCACGGCTCTGGAGGCCTCAGGCGCAGCAGACCCAGGTGTCGGCAGGGTTGGTTCCTTTCCAAGGCCCTGGGGGGAGCCTGTCCCCTGCCTCTCTCCCAGCTTCTGGTGGAGGCTGGCAGTCCTTGGTGTCTGCTGGCTCACAGCCGCATCGTCCCCTCTGCCTCCATCTTCCCATGGCTCCTTCCCCGCACACCTGTCCGTGTCCACGTCTCCCTTACCTTATGTCACCAGTCACAGTGGACATGGGGCCCCTCTGATCCAGCCTGACCTCATCCTAACCTGATGGCATCTGCAAGGACCCCCTTCTCAGACAAGGCCTCATTCTTAGATCCTGGGTGGACATGGAATTGGGGAGTACTGCTCAACACAGGACACATGTCTGTCCCCCACCCAACACAGCCTCTCTCCCTTCCGGACTCTGTCCAAATGTCACCTTTCCCGAGGGACCTCCTCTGTCACCCTCTGTGAGAGAGCAATCCCACTGCCCACCTGCCCTGTTCATTCTTCCCAGCTCTCTCCACACCTGAGGTCGTGGTTTCTGTTTCTCTGTTTGCTGCCTGCCTCCCTTCACTTCACCGGAAGGTAGCTTCTGAGATGGCAGGACCTTGGTCAGCTGGCTCCCTGCTTTAGGCCTATGCCTGGCAGTGCCCTGGGTGACAAGGCCCCTCTGACTGAGGTTAGGGGCAGGGAGGGAGACCAGCTGGATTCTGCAAGACATGCAGGGGTGAGGCCCATAGGTGGCAGGAGGCAGAGAGAAGGGATGGACGTGAGGCATTTAGGAGGCAGGATCAATAGGCAGGCTTGCAGGGTAGGGAGGGGCAGGGAGGGACAAGGAGGGACAAGGAGGGACGGGAGGTCCAGAGGAGGCTCCACCCGCAGCAGGCTCGCAGGCTCGCATGCAGCAGGCTCATAAACAGGGCCATTTGTTCTGCAGGGACTCTGGAATTCCCTGGGTCTCTGGATCGATCCTCTGCTAATGGGCTTCTCGCTCCCTCCTTCCCAAAGAAAATCAATTCTCTGAGGTTTTGAGAGTAAGTGCGCCCTAATTACAGCTCCATGGGGCCTTCTTTGTTCTCTCCAGCCCCGTCCTCCCTAAGGAGGCCAGGAGCAGTCAGAGGCCAGACAGGTTTTCAGAACTCCAGCCACCCTGGGGAGGCGCTGCCCCCTGCTGGGCCCTCCTGGGAGGGGTGCTCTTTGTTCTGGCCTGTGAGGGACCTTGTGACCCTGAGACCATGAGGGTACCCAGCCTCTGGGGCAGGGGACTACCACCCCAAGATGAGGCTCCTGTTTCTTGGAGCCTCAGTCTCACTTGAGGGTTTTGGGGGAAGTGTATCCACGCAGAATCCGGGTTGTATTATGGAAGGGAAGCTATACGCTCCCAGTGGGGTGGTTTGTTTATACCAAAGCAGCTTCAGGCCTTGCTCCTGGGCTCCTAACAATACCTACTGGGGGACCAGCAGTTAGCGTAATGGCTATGTCGCTGGACTCCCACGTAGTCAACTGCAGTTCGAGTCCCAGACCCAGTGGCTTAAACTCACACTAGGCACGTGTGTGTGCGTGCCCAAGATCCCGAGAGGAGAATGGAGGAGAAGGGATAGCAGCGTGGCCACCCCCCCTGGGGGGTGATTTCTCGCTTTCTGTCTCTCTGTCTGTCTGGTGAGCCCACGTGCCCTATAGCAAAAACCTCTCCAAAAAAATAAAAAATAAAAAGAACACCTACCGGGCAGGTCTGTGAAGCAGCCTCCCTGTGGCCTGGGAGCTCGCTGGTCAAGTCCCAGCAGACCGGGTCAGAGCCAGGCTAAATACCCAGCCCCACCACGCCGGATCTGAGAAGAGCACCTCCCGGTATCCTCCACCCACCTAGCCAGACTCTCCCTCGCCTAAGCTGGGGGCACTCCCACCATTGTCTCTGAGCTCAGCTTTGTCCTGCAGGTCTCAGCAGAGATTAGACCCAGAAAGGCCCTGTCCCTGTTCCTTTCTGCACCTTGGGTCTGTCTCTTTACTCTCAGATGACTGAGAGGAGCGCTCAAAGATCCCTGGACCGCAGCCTCTCTGAGCCCTGGACCTCCACACTCAGATTCTTAGGGATGGGATGGGAAGCACTGCCCGGATGGCACAGTTGCCCTCTCCAGTGCAGCCTGGGCATACCCTGCAATTCCAGAGTCTTCGAACAGGTCATACCAACAGGCATTTGATTTGAGGTCACCGGGAACTTCAGTGTGGAATTTATGCAATGTCCTGGTGTATTTATTAGGGATTTCCAAACAACAGATGTGACATCACTTTTGACAGCTTGCCCCCCTTGTTGCTGTTGGGCAGGGGTGCTTTGGCACTCAGCACGCTCTCAGAGTCTCACCTGTATTCCTCCCCACAGTGGGTGGGAGTGCGGGGCACCTTCCCGTGGGGGTGCAGAGATGTGGACCTGGGCTTCCGTCCTGAGCCCTGCACGATGCCTCTCCTGAGCTGGCAGAGTGCTTGGGGTCCGATTCCAGCAACTGCCCAAGCCCTGATGCCTGCCACTGTCCGCTACTGTCTGTGCTCAAAGCAGCTGTCAAGGTGGGGCTCCCTGGAGGAGCTCAGGGTCCAGAGGGAAACAGACATGCCGGTGGGCCTCTGGGGTGCCGCAGACAGGAAGTTGGTCTGCTGTCGGAAGGACTGTGTTCAGATCCTGAGTTGGCTGTTCACTGAGCGACCTCAGCCTGTAAATGAAGCCTCTCTGAGCCTCATTCTGGTCCTTTCTGAGCTGGACATGGCGACATAGTCTGTCAGAGTTATGCAAGAAATCAAAAAGACACAGAACGGGGGCCAGCAAATGGCATGGAGGTTAAAGCAAATGGATACCACATGACTGACTATTCAGTTCAAGTCCTAGACCCAGCAGCTTGAAAAACATGCCAGATGTGTGTGTGTGTGCATGCGTGAAAATCCTGAGGGGAGGATGGAGGAGAAGGGATTGTGATATGACCATCCCCCATTGTGATATGGGGTGTGATTTCTCACTTTCTCTCTCTCTCTGTCTGACTCTGATAAGCACGTACACTCTATAGAAAAGAAAAAAGGAAAAAAAAAGAAGAAGAAGAAAAGAAAGAGAGAAAGAAAGAGAGTGATCTAGAATCTAGGAGTACCTGAGACCTATGAAGCTTCAAGCAGAAGTGACTGGCTGTGATTCGGAGTTAGAAGGACCTGACTTCCTAGACCTGAGCTCTGGCCCTGACTGTGTCCTCAGTGTCCCTGAGGGGACTCCTCCCTGGTCACATGGGAGAGTGGGTAGGAATCTTCTTGAGGGTTCTCGGGCACTCTGCCCACGTTGACACGGGGCCAGTGCTGGACATGAAAGTGGCGTGATGAACGCTGCACCTAAGGGTACACGGCTGACCGCTGTTCCCCTGTTCCCCAGGTCGTCAGATTTCGGGACCTCCTACAGCAAGCTCACCCTGCAGCCCGGCATCACCACCGTCATCGACAACTTCTACATTTGCCCCACCAACAAGAGAAAGGTACGTGCTGCAGCTCCGGCTGTGGCTGCGGCTGTGGCTCCGCGTGGCCCCGCCTGCACTGCCGGTTCTGCAGAGCCAGGCGGCCGCTGGCCAGATGGGTCCTGCAGGACAGTGGCCCCGAGTGTGAGAGAGAGGCTTACGTCCCAGCCCTCCTGCTCACCCCTCCCCGCTCAGCGTCAAACTGTGTTGATGAATGCGTTTGAAGTCACTGGCCAGGCCTTCGCTGGAAGGTGCTGCCTGCTTCTCTGAGGCTCATCTGTCTTATCCCCCCCTGCAGGCAGAGTCCTCAGGGCAGACGGGGAGCGAGCAGGCCCTGGCGAGCAGACAAGAATCCGTTCTCTTGGTCTGAGTCCTCCGAAGGCAGCATTGAGCATGCCCGTTCTTCTGAAGGCCGTTTGCTGGCTTTGAGTTTTCATCTGAGCTTTCCTTGCAGTTTCCTTGGTCTGAGGGGTATTTCCTGACTTTGCTGTTGGTCTGGCTGTGGAACAGGGAGCCTCTCCTAGGCTGCCCACCGCTAGATTCAGGAAGGAGACCCCTCTTGCAAGCATGAGCCAGCTTTCTGGCCACCCTGTATCCCCTGAACGCGGTTGGAAGAAGCACCAGGCAAAGCTGACCTAAACCTGACTCCTTTCTGAGAAGCAGCTGAGAGATGGAGGTCAGGGTTCTGCTCCCAGCTCCCCTCGTTGTGCTGTTTCCTCAAAGGGAAATGGGATGTAACCCACATCTCCCACAGAAGATAGTGCAATCCAGGGCCCGCCGCCCGAGCCCCTGCGCCGTGCTCGGCACGAGGCCGGCCTGCAGCGCATTCGTGCTCTAATGGTGACTTCAGAGGCCAGCCAAGCAGCTCAGCGCCTGTGAGAACCTCTGTAAATCAAGCGAGCTTCCAGAAAGGCAGTCGCAGATACAGGGCGTGGGTGGCGCGGAGGGCACTGCAGTGTTTTGATGGTTACGATGATGGCAGATTCACTGGGGCTCAGAGGATCGGTTGCGCTTGAACTTGGCAGGTTCTACCGAGACCAAAGGCCCGGCGTAGAGCTCAATGGAACGGAGGACAGGGACGCGCAGTGCCGCTCACTGGGCTGTCTAGAGGATCTCGGCGGCGATTTTTAATGGGATGTCATCTTTTATTATTTTTTTTTTCTAAAGCAGATCTCCCCCCTCTTCTTTGACTTCTGCTGTAAAAGCTTCCTGACAGAATTGGAGTGCAGAGGGGGAAGGGCCGATGGGGTGTTGGGAAGGGGAGGGAGGCTGTGCCCTGCGGACATAGACACCTGCCTGGAAAGCAGATCTTGGGCCTGAGGGAAGGGTAGGTTGATTTTAGCCAGCCCCTGCTTCTTCCCACACCTGGGGCTCACGTGCACGGTCTCACTCCATCCCACAATGGCCCAAACGGGGAGAATGTTATCTCACTTTCCAGGACAGAAAATTGGGCAAGGGCCACACGGACGTACAACTGGTGGCGGGGAGCCTGCATGTGAAGTGACTTCATCTGAGGCTGAGGCTGAGGCTGAGGTGGAGGACTGTCCATCTCCGAGCAGCTGTGGTGGCCTCCCTTGCCAAGAGACCTAAATGCTTAGAATGAGCTAGGGCAGGGGTACTGCCTCCCTTCTAGCTGTACCCATTGCGCCTGGGGTCACTGTGACAGAATGTGAGACAGAGGCACGTCACGGGGGGCCACTGCTGACCCGAGGGAGAGCCCTGTGAACCTTGGACTCCAGCCAGCAGTGGGTGGGGCCCGTGCCGCCATCTCCTGGTGCTGCCCCCCATTCTGGTCCGTCTAGCTCACCTGGTCCGGGAGGCCTCCCCCGGGACTGCTGCCGTCCATGCTGGTGGTCCTGGGAAAGCCAGGAGGCCCGGCTAGGCTATCTGATCACCAGCTGGGAGGGTCCACATGAGCCTGGGATATGACAGTGGCTCAGATGAGACATATCAGCAGGCCGTGTCCACGTTTGCTAGTGAGAAGGGTGGAAAGCAGTGGCCAGGAGAGCATCTGAGGCTGTGAAGTCAGGGAGGGCTTCACAGAGGAGCTAGGCCAGAGATAGACCCTGTTCCTGCCCTGTTCCCCCAGTCCCAGGCTGGGGACGTGGCCTTAGCCTCCTCAGGGTCTGTTTCCGGGCCTAGAAAGCAAGCATGGGAGGATTGCATGGGGCCTCCTGTGTAGGCCGAGGGGTGGGGCTCTGATTTGGGGTGCTTGGCAGAGCTTCCTCTGTAGGCAGCTTTGGGGACAGGGAGACATCTGCATTTCTAAAAGCAGGCAAGACCACCTGGTCAGCCCTGCCTGACAGAGGTTATTTAATAGAGTACTGAGTCGAGGCTTGATTTCAGAGTCAAGGCAATTTGGGTGTTTAGCCTGGAAATATGTCTGGGTGGAAGATGAGTCTGATGGGGACTGGTGCCCAGCATAGTGGCTGAGCAGTGTTAAAGGAGTACCATGGATGAGTGAATGAATGAATGAATGAATGAGCCAAGTGTGT